TAGCTATAGAAATTCTTATTTGTTTAAGTTTAAAGACATATCTACTATTTATAAATAGTATCCAGAGCTGCAACTTATCACATTAGCACACACCAAGTTTAGTCGCTTTGCGAATTTGCATACCATATATGTATGTACTAGGGATGTTATTTTTTTTGACTTTTGCGATGCCGGGATTTTCGGGAAATCGTTCATACAATCCCGGGATCCCGGAATAAGTCCCGGGATTTAGATATTCATTCCAACAACTTATCATGAAAAAATTGCATCAATATAGTTTGAGAAGCTGTCCTAACATAAAATAAATAATAAATAGATGGGTTTGAAACCTACTTTATTATATTTCATTAGTAACAAATCAAAAGACAGTAATTAAATTTATACGCAAAATTTTTTTGATGTTACACTCAACCCTTTGAAAAAGCATGTTTTTACTTTCCTGTCCTTGTCCAGCTCTGATTTTCAGGGCAACCATCTCCCTGGACAAAGATTCAAAGGGTAGAAAAGGTGCCTTTTTTGCCTTTCAAGAGTGTGGCATTTTAAGAAATGAAAACACAATTTTCTCACCCTTTGCCTTTAATTTAGTATCGAACACGAATAGAGAAAGGGACAATCAAAAGTCGATATTTTTTGGTAGAAACGAAATCACCATAAGGCATGTCGAAAAAAGCTCGAAGCAAAAACAAATTTTGTCAACATATTTATGTATTGCGTGGCGGAAAGAAGTTCATAATACTACATAGCGGCAGATATAAAAGAAAGGCCTAATTTCAATAAGTTTTTAAATTTTTTATAAAAGTCTACCTCATTTTATATATAATTAACTGCATTTAAATGCTCATTTCAAAATTTGTACAAAAATTATAAAAATGCAAACAAATTTGCCAAAATTTCAAACTGTCGAACTTACTTTGTATGGAAGAAAATGCGTGACACCGCCATCAAAAAAAAAAATAAATAAAAAAACTCAACGTTACTTTTAGCCACTTGAAACTTGCACTTTATCCTCGTGTAATTTACTGCGCTATACCTATAAAAATGCATACCTAGAATTTTTCTAAAAATTCTGAGTAAAAAGACTGAAACAGGTCGAGAGAAAAAAAAAACTCACCAAGTAATCAATATACTCACGCCACTATGGACCAAATATAGTAAAACTGCGTTTTTAGTTTTAAATTTTTTTTATTAGAGCTTTATAATTTTAAAGATATTATGGATTCTAAAAATGATTTAAAAAATTCAGTGCAATGCAGAATAAATATGGGTACCAAATGACAGAGAAAATTCTGTAGGATTTAAAAAGTTAAAATTTTTTGCGTTCACAAGGACGAACAGGTATTGAAAATGCCATTTTAACTAATTTTTTTTTTTTAAGCTAATAAAGTTAGAAGGACTATATTCGAGGACGTGGTCGAGTTTATATTAGTCCTTAACATATAGTTTTTTTCATAATAAGTATTGCAGGATATTCAAGGATACAATATTTAAGGACATTTTCAATACCTTATGATGCACCAAAAAATTTAATCTGTTCTTTCTCTGCAGAATTTTTTCTAGAATTTGATACCTAGACTGTTTTCCTGAGTACTTTGTACTAAAATTTTTACACCATTTTCTGAATTATTCATATTATTCAATTTTCACATTCCTTTTAAAAAATCTTGACGTCACAGAGAAAACCTAAAAACGCAGTTTTACTGCATATATTTGGCATGCATGGCTTCGCGAATTTTTGTTTGTAAAATTGCCTGTCGCACGGTGTTATGTGTATAAAAAAATATTAAACATTAAATAAACAAAAGAAATAGCAAAAACTGGTTAACATAAGGAGTTCCGGGATCCCGGGATTAGCATCCCTAGCATGTACATAACTTAGTAAGCAGAGCGTGTAAAGCATTTCAAATCTCGCCCCTTTTTACTTGGTGGTAATTCAATAAACAACCTATTAACAAGTAATTAATTAATTTTTAATACATAACAAATAAACGAGTTTTGCAATAATAACTGAGGTAGATACAAATGTGAGGTGCGGGCAGAGTACGGCATTTACTGTGTTAAAATTGATAAGCGCTTTTTTGGTCTTAACAGATGTTGTGCTTTTTTAATCTCTTTTGTTGTGTTTGGCACATTTCTGTGATTTTGTTTACTCTTTATCAGCTCGTATGAAGTCGTTGAACATGTTTTGTTTTTGTCTGATACATAAGAACATACTTTAATTTATTTAAACGTTGAAATGTTGATTCAACATAAATGGGTGTACATTGGGGTGCTCCAAAAATGCACCAAATGTTCTTTACTGAAATAATATACCTTCTTCTTCTTCTTCTTTTTTGGCGCTGTAACCGCCTAAGCGATTTTGGCCGAGTTCAGCAAAGCACGCCAGTCGTTTCTCCTCTGTGCCAACTGGTTTTCAGAACGAACGCGTATTTGAATTGAATATTTACCAATAAACAGTACTTTCGTTGACGTTTACGTACGTAAGCATATATAAGCACATGAACTTAGTACTTATGTACGTATGTATATAGGCATGAACATTTAATTACTTCACTGGACCAGCGTTGCCGAACTGACGATTTCGTCGTCATTTTGACGTTATCTTAGCCCAATGAAGCTTTGACGATTTTTCTCTCCAAATGACAATTTTTTATTTCAGTTTTTTCACTTAAATTCATACATATGAATACATACCATCATGTATTTATCTAGTTTTGTTCTATAACCGTTCTTTCACGTACATATTTATATTAAATTTGTACTAGACTTGTAACCAATTTGTAAATTTGCACAGTTGCTACTTATTTAAAAGAGACAGAATTATAGCAGAGAGAACTGTTTCCTGTTACTCTTTAACACTGGATCAAAATCTTTTAAAAAATCTTCAAACTAGTGGAACTCAACAATTTAAAAGCAGTTGTAATTCATTAAATTCTAATTCTAAATTGTTGTTAAATGAAATGAAATTACAAATCAACTTTTATTAACCCATATGGTCAAAATTTTGGGAACGAGGAACGAGTGAAAAAAATGTTTCTTTGACTCACCCGTCAACCCTTGAAATATTTTTTTTATATAAATCTTAAGGCATCCTGTGGTCTAAAGTTATGCGACAACATACATAAAATATATATATATACAAACGAATTGATAACCTCCTCCTTTTTTTGAAGTCGGCTAAAAAAAGCATAACAAAAAGAATTTGACGTTTTTGGCTGAAATTACGACTTTTTTGAGACAAATTGACGATTTTTCAGTGAAAGATTTTGCCAACGTTGAACTGGACTGATAATCGCCAGTGGAAAAAGTAGTAATGCAATACATGCGTGAGAAATAATGTAATGTATTTCTATTGCTGTTATATATATAATCACTACGGAAAGGATTTTTAGGAACTAAAAACCTATAATAAAATGCAAAACAAAATAACGAAGTAGGCTAAAAAACGCAAAATAAAATAGCGAAATAGGCAGAGAGAGGCTCCAAAAAAGACAAAACAAGAAAAATAATCAAAAAATACATTTATGTATTTTAGAAATGTTTCTTTTACAAGTAAAAAGAGAAACCTATGAACTAGTTTCATTATGTGAAAAATTTGTACTTTGAATCTTTGACTATTTTCTCCTTTCTACACAGTTTCGCTTAGCATACATTACATTTTCCCGCTGGGTGCGTACATAAGTAAATATTTACGTACATATACATACATATATCTATGTACATATGCACCAGCAATTGCATGTTTACGGTGAAAATAAATTCCGTGGCAACGCAGATGGCTCTCTGAGGCATGCACTAAATACAAGTACATACAACAAATTATTCCTCACTATTTGCGTGGGGTACAAATTTTGCAATTCTAGTGCCGTAAAATATTGAAAGAGTTTATATTTCCCTGTATGTACTATACTTGCTACATTTACCTAACATTGTGGAAGTGTGAAAATTAAGAACTTTAAAGCTTCAACGTACTCGTAGTACTGTCGAAATAGTTTGCACTAGGGTGGTCGAAAATATTTAAAGTCAGAATTTTATTGCTCTAATCCTCTGGCATTGTTCTATACCAAAAAATTATCGCCCTTTGTTAATAAAAAAATATTTAGAATTCGTTCAAGGCGCTCAAAGTTTTACATGTACTATTCATACATACATATGGATTTTATATGGAAAAAATAGGTTTTCGTAGAAACGGCTTAGAATTCTTGAAAATCAAAATTTTTCTAAATATGGGAAAAGTCTGTATGTATTTAGGAGACTCAATAATAATTCCCAATTGTTTATTTAACCATTTTTTAAAGTCTCCAAAAACATCCAAAAATTTCAAGGGGGCCTATAAAAATAATATGCATTAAAAAAGGTGTTAAATAAACATTGGGTATTATTATTGCAAGTCTCCTGCAGAGAAATAGAGTTTTACTAATTCTATACTATTTCCACGAAATAATGCTTTTTTCGTTAAAAAATACATGGAACACTTTCAGCACTTTGAGCGAAATTTCAATATTTTTTTTTTTGATTTCCAAAAAAATTAATTTCCTCAAGTACTCAAGTCCGCTTTAGTACGTACCCAGCATATTACAGTTCCTACCACCCTAGCGTACCACCCTAATGTCAATAAATTTAAGCTGTCCAAAAATTTGCTGTTTTATTTCAGTAGAACTATTTAAAAAATGTTTTGCCGCCGAATGTGTATCTCCCCGCAAAATGTAAAAAGGCAACGCCTAGGTTCGGCCAAAACAATTTTTTTTGTTCGAAATTGCCTTGCAAAAATACTTTAGACTCAGACCTTAGAGACGCACAGCGAACATTTTTTTTTTGTTTTCTTGTAAGGTAGTACGGTCTAATGTACATAAATACTCCTACATATGTCTACATTTTTTTTCTGATAGCAAAGCTAAAATCTTTCAATTAACGAGGTGCAAATATAAACACAAGAATTTATACAATCTATTCTAAATTTATTTACTTACTCTATTCTTAAAAACGAATCTGTATATTTTTCTATTTACAGATTTCCATACAAACAGCACAACAGCATTCAATATAGGTAATCGGTTTATTCGCAATTAATCATCGTATAAATAATCCACTGTTATTTCGGCTGCAAATACAACATAAATTCACTCTTTAGCATCCACCAACTAGCAAATTAATATTATCTGTATAAATCATATACAAACATGGAGACTGAATCACTTAATCGGAAAAATTCCTCAAGGAAAAGTTCGGTAGTCAATGGTAATGGCGATGCGGCGGCTAAGGTGGCCGCCGAAAATGAAGGTGGCGGCGGTAGTGGTGACGTAACGTTGAAGGCGAAAATGAGTTTAGTCAATGGTTGTACGGTGATCGTCGGTTCCATTATCGGCTCCGGTATATTCGTTTCACCCACCGGTGTGCTCATGTATACAGGAAGCGTAAATTTGTCGCTAATCGTATGGATTATTTCCGGCCTTTTTTCTATGGTGAGTACTCGCGATGTGTGCTAGAAAAATATAATGGTATGAACTACTATCTTCTCTCTTTTACTCTTTTATGAAATTATTTTATAATCCAATTGACTAAGTTTATTGATATTGAGCAATTATTTAGCATCTGTGTCGGCTTTATACTTCGGTTGATACGTAATCATTCACATAAAGACTCATTAGCAGAACTTGTGACATTTATTTAGTTTTCAAAGTGGGAAACACTTATTTCTATTTGAGGGTCAGTTCACCCAAAGATCACATCGAACAGGACCGCAATTTCTCGGCAGGCAATGACGTCAAATTTTTCACTGCTTGGACATAAATAAAATCACTTCTTCAAAAAGTTTTTTTCATCTATTTAAAAAAGATCACGCAGAGTAGAAAATTCATTTATATATTAAATAATAAAATATACAGAATAAGTAGTAGTGGAGTAAAATTCCTCCAAAAGTGAAATCGCTTAGAGGCGGGGTTGGGCATGCAACTCAAAGTTGCTCGGAATGTTTGATATACACTCACTCACAAACCTAATACATAAATCAAAGTTTAAGGTTGCGTTCACACAGAAAGCCGAGCGGCGCTGAGCGAAGTGTTCACACTGAACACATGAACTCCGCTTATAAAATTCATTTTTATTTGAAAACTTATATATCTTGTTTGCAGAAGCGTTATGAAGCTGAAAAATTAAATAGAAAATTCAAAATCCAAAACTGCATTGCTTTCAGCTCCAAAACGCTTCTGAAAAGCTTGCTGTATGAACACTTTCACATAGCTACAGTAATTTGAAAGCTTCACTTCGCTCGGCTCGGCACTGCTTTCTGTGTGAACGTACCCTAAGACTTTGTTAAAAATGGGAAAAATATGGAAAAGTCTAATCAAAATTCCAACCCTTTAAATCATAGTGTAAACAAGGCCTGTCCAGGGCCTAGCAGACAATGGCCGACACTACCCGTATTATCACTTCCGCTTTCCAAAAATTGTCATAGTTGCCTACAGGCGTCTAAGAAAGAGAAAAAATGTCGCCGGCAATTCTGGCTCTGAAAATTTGGTGAGAGGTAATAAGATCAACGGAAATAAGGTCAATTGACGATAACAAGTCTCCAATGGAGATGTTTTGCAACTTTATCGACGGCTGTAGTGCCACATAAGAAGAAGAAGTAGTAAGGTTTTTTACAGATATACCTATTGTCCATTTAAAAGGACACACCACCAGGGTGGAAAATAAGGTCAATTGACTTCGTACGTAACTTAATTTCCCTTGGGATCTCGTCCACATCGTCAAAATTACCAGGAGTTTCGGCTGCAGCCACAAGTTGCGTGGCTGAAAATTGTTAACTGACACAAAATCTTCATCGCCAGAATCTTCGTCAATATAGCTCCCTCCATTTGTTAAGACGCACAATACAAATAGGAGGAGAAGCTAGGCCAAAATTCGAAAAAGTGTTAGCGCCAAAATTTTATCATTATTATTAATTAATTTGAAATTTTATCACAGGAGGCAATTCCTTTAAAAAATATTTGCGAAATAAGTTTGAGATCCCTTTCGTTCGACACCCCACATGGATCCAATATTTTCTTTAACTTGATAATTAATTGATATGAACGCTTGAAAAAGGTGGCAACTATTCAAGAGATATCCTGTATGTTGACCCAGGTTATAAGCTATCTGTTTACCAACTTTCATGGAAATGCACTTAGGCGTATTAGCGTTAAAGAGCAGTAAACATACTCACTCTTTCACCCAGAAACTATGTATGTGAAAGTTTGTAAAGTATTCAGCCTTATGCTGAGTTTCGCCCGAGAAAAAAATCACCCGAAAATTTTTCTTCCTCCCATAGTGAATACATGGAAACGAAAAGTGCAAAGTGAACCGGTTCGGGGAAAATTAAACTCATTATTATACATGCTGCCAAAATTAGCTGCCATTCAAGGAATTATCTTGTATTAACCTCAAGTCTTTGATTAGTTTCATACTGTTTTAAACGCGCAAACGGCCCTCCAAACTGAATAAAAATGACAAAAGGAAAGAATATCCATATTCTCGCAGTCTTAATGATATTTTTAAAATTCTCTTAAGAGAAACGCATGTCAAATGCAGTTTATGTCATTAAATATCCCTCCAAAACCAGAAGGAATCAATATATTTGCCAACGACCACGCATACTGCAGTAACTACGTACACACATAAATTAACCCAGTGGGGAAATAAGGTATGCCATTACCTTATTCAGACACGAAATGATTAACGATTACGACTGAACGAAACCATATGAACATCCCTAATCAGTGAATATCTAATGGGTTAATGGCGCATTTGAAACCAAACCATTTGGCCGAATAATTACATTTATAGTCATTGTAAAATAAATTTAAGCAAGGTGCAGTAGTCTGTACAATAGATAATCCCATTTCTGCGCTAAGCCGTAAACGAAAAACACTTGCCTTGCAGATCCAATAACCGTTTTTGACCTGACATTAAAGCAGTTAAATACTTATATCACAACTGACACAACTTATTTCCTGAATTCAGGCATGCTTCATAGACACCACAGTGCTATTTATTGCATGGCCTTACAAAAATTCGAATGCCCTCACCTCAAAATGGCAAACATTAGATAATTTGGCACACAGTGAAACAGATATTTTAGGGTCTGAATCCAACTATGCTTAAACTAGTCAGAACCGTCAGATTTTGTTTACAGCGGGTTAATGTTTTTTCATTTTTAAGTAAACAATTCTTATTTTTCTTATTTGGCGCAAGAACCGTTTCAGAGGCCAAAAAACTTCGCAAATTGACTCTCTCCTTTGAGAATTTGCAAAAGTTGCGCAGCCCGTGTGCAGGCTGGTCCTTATGAGCTTGATCCTTCCATTTGTTTCGTTGGCGCCCATGCTTTTTTTGTCCACCTATGGTTTGATTGCCGAGTCGAAGAATCTCTTCACTGGCGCGTCGCTATACTTGCGTACAACATTGTTGTATTTTTATGCGCTTTACTATGTCCATGCCATTAAAAAGCTCATACAGTTCGCCATTTTTCGTTACCCGTCGCCAATGCGAACAGTCCGTAGATCTTGCGTAGAAAAGTTCTCCCGAAGGCACCCAAATCCGTCTCATCTTTGTTGGGCAACGATTGCAAAGCGGCAGAATCTAAAATTTAAAATGACGTCATTACTGTGCTAGGTAAAAGACGCTGAATTCGCGAAAAAGGAAATATATTTATTAACTTTTATACAAAACTGATTCAAAAATATTGAGTCATGACATATTTGAATGGCTTCGGTATCACTAATTACGAATCTAAAGTCCGAATTTCAAACTTCAAAATGGCGGACGTATTTTTAAAATTTCCTTGCGTTCGCTTTAAACTTGTTACTCGAGGGATTTTGGGATTGCTGATTACGAATATGAAGTCCCATTTGCAAGCTTTAAAATGGCGGACCCAGTATGGCGGCCACAAAGGATTAGAATCACTTAGATTCGGTTAATACTTAACAGTCGGGTGTTCTTAATGTCGCTGATTACGGATCTGGAATCATATTGTATCTACCTACCATTTATCACGGGATAGTTGAAATCGAGCGTAAGTACATGGCGTATGAGTAACATTCTCTTCTCCACTGAGTAACTCATACGCCATGTACCTACCATAGATAACTAGATTTGAAGGCTCTGTTATGCATCTTGGCATTGCTTGAGAGTTGTCACATAACGCACACCATTACATACATAGAAGTCTGTTGGTTTTTTGATTTCTACGTAAAAATGGTATAGCAGTGCATGCACAGCCTAGTATGCATAACAGAGGCTTGAGACTTTTTTCTCGTGACAGCGCTCTCACAATTTGTAAAATTTTCCAGTTGCTCTTCTTTATTCTAATTCTTCTTCTAATTAAAAATATACATTTTTTTTTTGTAATCGCAAAGACGAATTGATATTGAAAATGCCCTTTTAAATATTTTTTTTTTTTACGCTATTGAAATAGAAAGACGAAAGTTGAGGATATGGTCGTGTGTATATTAATCCTTAACCTATATTTTTTTTTCAAAAATAAATATTGCAAATTCGCAAGGATACTCAAGGACAAAATTTTAAAAGGGCATTTTCAATACCTATTCGTCCCTATGCACCAAAAATTTAATATTTTTCAATTCTACAGAATTTTATCTTTTCTTTGGTACCCATATCGTTATTCTATATAGCACTGAATTTTTTAATTAAATTTTAGAACTAATCCAATCTTTAAAAAAAATCCTGATGCCAGAGAAAGAAACTAAAACGCAGTTTTATTAAATTTGGCTCCTAGTTTTGGGAGTATCCTATGTATGCATATGTTTTTTTTTTCAAAATTTCTTTTCCTCGGTGTAATCCATGTTATCATTAACTTGAATTTTTTGAATCACTTATGCCATTTTCATTGCAAAGGGCTCATATGTATGTACCAATCAATGCGCTAGGAAGACTAGGTACGTAACAGCCATTAGCGCACACAAGGGGTGGGTTTTGGGGTTCAAACCCC